CATTCTAGTTACACTATTATGAACCATGGGGATGACCTTGATAAAGCAAGGGGCCCATTCGTCCATTATCTGGCAGTTTCATGATCACCAAAGACTACTATGAACATATAACTGATGCTTTTAGATTCACTGAGATTGAAACAGGAACATACCGCCCGAGAGAGGTTTTTTGCGCAAGTCCTCTATATCATCCTGAGAAGTATCTTCATCCTAAAAATGCCAAGGCAAGTATAGGTAATTTAACTTGAAATAAGCAAAAACACATTGGAAGAACAATTTTGTTCGCTAAAATGGGATGATGCTGATATCAATAGCTTGAATTCAGATGAAAATAGGCATTCAATGACCATCATGATTTCAATAAACAAATTCAACAACCATCATGTTTTCAAACAGTGTTTCTGAATTCCCATGAATAGCTCCCCTCATAGAATTATTTCAGACTAATAAGTCAAACACGCTCATTAACAAAAGATGAACCAGATCTCACAAGATGAATTAACACAGAAAGTACTAACACTAACCCTCAAGCCTTAGTATTCTTAATAATCAACCGAATGAAGAAACTACTGTTATAAACCCTAAACCCTAAATCTTCAAAATTTTTATCATTCAACCACATTACGCAGAAAAGAACCAATATTTCGGAATATACAATAAAAAAACCCCCACAAATCTACCGGTAAAAGCTCGATAACAATGAAATCGAACCTCAAGCAGGGAACTCAGTGCAAATTACAAAAACATCTGATTCGAGATCCGAAAGTGCCAAAATCTTTGGGTTTTTTTCTTGATCAAGATTAAAATGTCGAAATTAATGAGCAAGTTGAGGAGAAAAAGAGAGATTTTTACCTGATCTTTGATTTTTCGATAGTCCATTTTCAAGGAGAGAGGATCTGATCTCTGTTGTCGTCCACAGCGAGAGTGAGATTGTCGCTCGACGCATCAAGCTGATGAACGCGGGTTAACGAGATCTAAATCCAACAAGATATTGTACCCGTTTGAAAATTTTTTCTTCTTTTAATATAACCCCCTTCCTGTTGTTGTACTTTCTCATTGGACCCCTCAAATGCTTTTTCTTTTTTCTTTTTTTTCTCCTTTTTTTTGCCTTTTATTTGATTATTGTAATTGCTCAAGACAACATGTTTTAATAATTGAGATGTAAATATAGCAAAAAAAAACACATATAAACTGCATACAAAAAGCCATTTTTTATTATGGTATAAATCAAAGAATAAAAATTGATAAAGAAATGCAACAAAATCTAAGAAAAATCTTTACTGTGTAAGAAATAAATATCTAATTTAACTAACAAAATTGTACAATGGAATATTGGCATTTTTTAGTCATTCAAAAAAATTTTTTTTTTAAATTACTAACAAATTAAAAAAAGACAATACGCTTAGGGGGTGTTTGGTTCAATTTCTAGAAATTATAGGAAATGTTTTCCACCTAAAATATGATTTCCTCGTATTTCTTAAAAAAATTATAGGAAAAGTTTTGAGAAATCAAAAAGTATCAATTTTCTTGTTTTTTGTACTTTGCTTGTTTGGTTCAAAACAAGAAAATAGCTCATAACTTTATAGAAAATAACAAGATTTGGTAGGTTTTTAATTTTAAATATGGTATGTGTCAGATTTCTGGTGATTTCCTCTCATTTTGAGAGGAAATTGCTTTTTGTAAAATTTGGTAGGTTTTGATATTTTATAGAAAATATTTCTGTAAATTTTTTGTTGAACCAAACACAATTTACAGAAATCTCTGAAAAACTTTTAATTACAAATTTGTCATTGTCAGATGTTTTAAAAAAAGTTTTCTCAAAAAATGTGCAACCAAACAGCCCCTTAACTTATAGAGGAAAACTAACTTGACTTGATCTTATCCCATAATCCAATGAAATTATGTTAAGGGCCTGTTAGATTCGTTTTCCACTCTTGGTGGAAATCCCATTCCATAAGAAAAACTCAATTTTGGAGGTTTTGTAGTTTTCCTATAAATGGATTTTTCATGTTTGTTTCATACTAAAGAACGTGGGTGGAAATCAATTTCCACTTTATTCTCTTATTTGGTTGATGTACAAACATACGAAAATGGATAAAATTTTATTTGAGAGAGAGATTATTGAGTTGAAGATTAATTCCACAAAAAACATTATTTTTCTTTTTTATTTTTACTCTATTTTTATCGATTTAAATAATCATGATATTTAACCACGTGCATTGCACGTACATCTCAACTCATGATATTCAACCACGTGTATCGCACGTGCATCTCAACTAGTAATCGCACGTGCATCTCAACTAGTAATCGGGTAGAAGCAAATCTTTATTGTGACCCAAACTTCCATGCATATTCTCCAGGTACCAATTTTTTATTTACAACAAAAAAAAGGGGGGGATTTCCAGCCCATTTCTTTTCAGTTTGGAAGGAATTCAGTGTTTGCCAATGAGCTAGCGTGGAGGCCTTTTCGAAAGCCCATTTTCCCATTTCTGACGGATGAACTGAAAAAGCCCAAACTCAATTGTGGATAAACTCATTCCATTATGACACTGACAAGTGAGGCCTTCGATCGCAACCCAAGGCCGACAATGTCTTCACAAGGCATTGGGCCGTTCGAATTAATTGGCCTGGATCGAGATATGAATATGAAGAATTTGTCGCACGCCGACTAAATACAAACCCTTTATTCGAAAAATGTCATACGCCCTCCGTGATCATGAAAAAGGATATGGGCCAGGCATGTGGGCCCTACAGTTAGGTTTAGGTACCGTTGGTTGTTATTTTCAAAGCCCCCGCGCCTGTCACCTCCTTTATATAACTTAAAAAACCAGCTCCCTCTTCTTATCCACAACTCCTTACCGTTGCCTTCACGTTCGAATCGTTTTTCTTTCCCGAAAGTGTAAAAATGATGAAGGAAAGGGAACCCCTGGGGGAAAAAATGACAAGTTCTCCTTTTTTGAGTATAAATAAGAAGAGAAATAGGAAGTATAAATAAGAGCAAATTAGGAAATGAAATTAATGTTAAGTTGGTAGGAACTGATTTGTTTGTTAGAATATCATGATACACGACATGTTTAGCTCTTCACATATTTAACAAAAATTGAGGTTTTTTCTTGGGGTTATTTACAATTAAACACCCCACAATTTACACAACTTGTAACTTTAGTACTCTCTTGCCCAATAAATACCCCAAACTTAAATCATTTATTATTTTGATACCTGTAAAAATTTTTTCTTGCCCAAAATGAACCGCAACATTCAATAAATTTTTACTTTGATATCCTAGCCATGATTTTTTATATTTTAATATCACAATCTTTAACTGGAAATTAATGTTCGGATATCAAAGTTAAATTTTATGGACTCTGAGGCATTAAAGCTATATTTTATTTAATTAATGGGTTTTACTGGCAAAACTAAATTTGGGGTATCAAAGCAAATTTTGTTGAACTTTGGAGTATTTTTGGGCAAAAATGAACTTTGGGCACCAAAGTTTAAAATGAGGAAAAGTTTGGGGTATTTAAATGCAAATAACATTTCCCCCTTAAAAACGCTTTTCTTTGGAAAAAAAATTCCACGAATTTTCTATAAAAAATAGTTTTTGCTTTATTAAAATTTCATGATATTTTCTTATCAAAATAGTGAGTAAGAGAAGGGAGGATTTCTCCTCTTTTGCGTTGCTAATTCAAACCGAGGTTGAATAATAGGAATGATCTAATATAAACACTAAGGACAAAACTGCCCATTTTGTTGTTCTGCCTGTTTTCGAATTTTTTACTATTTTTAAATTATAAAAATGCCTAATTTCGGAGTATCAAAGCAATCCTCTTGAATTTATTATGCGCAACTGTTACAGATAGGTACAGCTGACTTAATGAAGACACTAGTCACTGCTCTATAGTGGTCAAGTCAATATTTCGAGATGAATTGAAGTAGACTGACTAGAAGTTGCGATATAAAGCTTTCTTGTCGTATGCGGCGACAAATGATCGAACCACAACTCCATAATTAATAGTAATGGTAAAACGCTCCTCCTAACAAGCGTTCTTTAGTCTTTAACTTTAAAAAAAAGTTCAAGGAATCAAGAAAACTCGAATCGATTAAGAGCTTCCAAGACAAGTTGATTGCCGAAACATCACGACCTTCTTAGGAATCAGAGAAGATGATATATTTATATCTACAAGCATGTTGAGCTACTTTTGTACGCGCAAATGTTACACGAGCCTAAGTGCAGAACAAGTGATCATCATCTCCCATGAGGTGAGAGAGGACTTTGAGGAAAGGGTGAGGCAATCCATTCCCATGCATTTTACAACGATATCATACCACTGAAAGTAATAGATGAAAGGAGTACAATATGTAATTTACGTACGTACCCTTAAATTTACACATCATATATACGCAAACCAAAATTCAAACTCAACAACTCCCTCCTCCAAATTAAGCCTCAACTCACTACACCTACCAACCAAAAAAAATATCTACCCAAAGCTCAAAACTCACTCGTGAGCGGTGTCTCGGCACTAACATCCTCATACGCTCTCCGTGAACTCCACCACCACCACCTTTCCCTCGCTATTACAGCCCCACGTTTCCCACCCCAACTCCCACTTCCAACCCCGCACCAAAAAATGAACTCCCTCTCTCGGTCCATCGACGACGTGATCGACGAAATAACGCGGCTCCACCGCTCCCTCCCGTCCCGCCCAGCCATCGACGACGTCGACGCCGCCCTCGCCCTCCTCCGCGCCGTGGACCACGAGGAGAAAACCCGAATCGAAACCATAACCAAAGAACAGCAGGAGTTGAGGAAAAATCTAGACCAGTTAGTTCCTGAGGAGTTGTTGGGAGTTCAGGAGCAGCTGCAGAGGAATCTGGTGGGGTTTCAGGGGAGAGAGCAGAAGAGGGAGGCTGTCAGGTTGCTCGATTTGGAGAACACTCATGTTGTTTTCGATCAGCTTGTGCAGAAGGCCGAGCGGT